GGCTTTATTGAATTTTATTTGGCAAATATGGATTTATGAGTCTCAACATAAGCTTTTTATGACAAAGAAACAATGGTTAGGTATCAAGGTATGTTGAAGAATGACCAATATTATAATATGAAAACAAAAATACAGCTTGTGTAATGACCTTAAAGAGAATTTGCACTTAATTATGCAACATTGATGTATAAAGTAACATCAGATGCATGTTGGAAATGGGATAAGCAAAAAGGATCTTTCTATTGTATGTGGTGAACTTGTGAAAGCTAAACCTACTGGATCCAAACAGATATTAAAGATCAACATCCAATTACAACTTGAACTTTTTGTTTTGAAACTGATCAATTAGAAAAGAGACAGGAACAAATACTTTATGACTTGACAACAGCTGCAAAAATATTATATATGCAGCAATGGAAGAATTATCATTGGCCAACAACATTTTGGTGCCCCAAATATTAGAGCTGTTTCTGGATATATGACCGGCTGCTTCCTAAAATGGCACCAGTTTTCCCCTGTCAGCGCTTGTTTTTGAGATACAGGATATATGCCATATACCTGCCATTATCTGCTCACTCATAGAAAATCGTTATAACTATTTCTAAGAAGCTAGAGCTGATGAAATCTATCCAATGCAAATTTCTGAATCAGCACCCCAAATAGCCCCAGGAACTAGTTTATAAACTAAGATACCAAGAAAACATGTGTTGTTGGGCTGTATCTTTTATTACCTATGTTTTAAAGACTGGTTAATACAATCACATGGTTTAGTGGAAATGAATAAATTGTCTATTTTGATTAAAGAAAAACCATTAACTATGTTTTTGAAAGAGCAGAAATCTCTGATTTTTTTGAAAAAAGATGGTGATTGTTGGTTTTATTAATATGCATTAAATGCATAAATGAAATGTAACTAATAGATAAAGCAGAGAAAGGTGGATGTTTAAGAATTAAAACACATCCATCGAACAGGTAGTAGGGAACCATCTTTTTCATTTTCTATTTTGTTAGTTGTCATTTTTTGTTATGTATTTATGTAATTTAGATTTGTGTGTAGGTATGTAGTAAGATTTATTTCTGAGTTCCTTTTTGCTTCTCTTCTGTATCTATTTGGTAGTTTCATATGTGTTGCTTTTTTCCGTAGCTCATTTTTATGTATGTTTTATTCATTTTTTTCTTAATGTAGAATTTATTGAGTAAAAATGCTCCATAAACAAAGGCCTCTTTGCTGCCACTACAAAGGTACACCCCAGGGAACACATTCAAAACTATTTTCCAGGTAATACAGAACGAGTGTTCTCGAGATTCACTTTTCACATTATTGTGTCCATAGGTATGAATTCAATTCTACAATTTGAGAACCAGAATATTAAAATTTGCACAGGAGATTAAAAAAAATCCACTGATTCAAAAATTTGTTCTTGTGCTCTACTGAATTTAGCATTTATTTTGCATTACGCAAAACCTATTCTTCAGCCAAAACTGTAATTCTGAATTATATAGAGCTTATCAGTTATGGCTGTTGATTTCCATGTGTGTTTTGTAATGAATCTACACCGCGTTTAGCCATTTGGCAGAAATGGATAAATTGGCACATGCTTGGGGGGAGGGAATCAAAATAACGACAGAAAGATTGGGAATTATTTCTAAATTTTATTTAAAAAGAAAAAAGGTAGACGATTATGGACAGAGAGCTTTGAATAGGTTTGAACCAGGAAAAAAAATTACCTCAAAAATTATCTAGAAACAACAATTAGCCCAAGGGTCCAATCTCAAGTTGTAATCTTTGAAGACATCCATCATACATGTTAAAAGTAACAATGTCTCCTACCCATGAAACGAGGAGTCCACAGAGAAGACCAAGGAGGAGGAAAGAAAGAAAGAGGGGAAGTAATTGTATTGCATTGTATCTTGATTAAATTACGCAATATCAGCAATGCAATTGTGGAAAAAATAATTTAAAATGAAAAAAGAAAAGAAATATATGGTTCAGCACAATAAATAGCTACTGTTCATGCTAAAACCTGGAGTAGATATACTATTTCTCTGATATGTAAATCACCAATCATCAGTGGAGTTTACTCAGTTCACCACTCTACCATAAATAATTATGAATAAGCTGACCTCATCTACACATAAAGGGCAGGTTATGTGTAGATAAGGTGGATTTTGATATGACATGTAGGTAAGTTTGAGGGTCGTTCTGCAGAGAGGGAAAAGCCACCTCAGGGGGCTATCTGCACCTGATTATCACCACCATTATTTTCCTACGTAAGCATTCGAAGAGGCTAGAAGCGGCATTGTGGTGGAAAACATAGAGGTGGGTCAATGCCTCTTTTATGTTTCCTTGGATAGGGATGAGAGACAGGACATTCTCGGTGATTGCCCCCCGGCTATGGAACTCCCTTCCTGATGAGATCAGGTCGGCCCCCTCCCTCCTGTCCTTTAGAAGAATGGTAAAAACTTGGTTGTGGGACCAAGCTTACGGAACAGGGCAATAAAACAGCAATAGGAAAGATTACCAGGCCAATTAGATTTGACGCAGATGACTAGGACAGTTTTAAATGGTGTATTTTAATATTGAGATAAATATTTTTAATGTTTATGTATGCGTATATGAATTTGTGTCCCGGCATTGAATGTTTGCTGTATATATGCTGTGCTCCGCCCTAAGTCCCCTTCGGGGTGAGAAGGATGGAATATAAATGTTTTAAATAAATAATAAATAAATTGGATAGAGCCCTCATCATTTGCCCAGGTTAGAGCTTTTATACCCAGCATTCCTGTTTTACCCACCTTCTGAGCTATAGTATATATATTAAAAAATCTCTCTAAAAATCTCCAGCAAGTCTCCAGTGTGAGTGAAAGATTTAATTGATAAGGCCCATCTGTGGAGGGAAGATCCATTGTTCCTGCCTTTTCACAGACTCAAGCCCCCGCTTGCTGGGACTCAATAGATTCTGTCTGCTAGTGCCATGTATCCTAGCTGTGGGGTCCACCAGGGCTGAGAGAGTCAATGCCATCTGCTAGGAGAAGAAGAGCAGATTTTGCTACTGCTGCTGTTCTATTGGCTGGGCTTTACTTCTCTGGCTGAAAAGAGAGTTTATTTTTATTCTGTTTAAATTGTGTTGTGTACTGCTATGTGTATGAAAACTCCTATTAGTTCATTTGAGTGGATGCCAACTGTTCTCAGATTGATGTGCAGTTGGCAGTGTGAGGGACTGGTTGGAGGACTACATTGAGCCACCTAGCTACAACGCAGCAACCTAGCATGAATAGGGTTCTGATGGACTAACCAGCTGATTGCCTGATTGCCTGAGAACCACATCCACTGAGTGGTGGGGTGTGTTAAGTATTGTTTTGCTTAGTTATTGTCTTGTGGTAAAACAGCATATTGGGTGGATACTGGTCACTCTGGGAATATTACACCATCTGATTGTGAGAGAGCCAACTGAAGGATTGGGTAGCAGTGAGAGGGCTAGCCAGACCCATCTAGTTGACTACAAGGCTGTCCCCTGGTGGGAGTAGGGCATTGCTGGACCAGCTAATCGGCCTGGTCGATAGGGAACACACCTATTGACGATTGTTGATATATTATAATTTGTCTTTTGTGTTTTTATTTTATATTTTGGTTGTCTCTTTGACCCTCTATTGTTTATTTTTAATTCAATGTATTCAAAAAGTAGGGCGGCAATACAAGTCATACAGGACAGAGGGAGATATGGTGATGGCAGTATCACATGCCCTCATAGAGTAAGGAGGGAAAGGTGTTTAATGCCGATCTCACCTTCCAGTCATCTAGGGAACTTGGAGAGTGATCCAGACCAACCACAAAACCTTGCCTTGCTCATAATCAATGCCAGGTCAGTGAAAAATAAGACTCATCTATGAGCTCCTCAAAGATTAGGGAACTGACCTGGCATGCTTCACTAAAACTTGACTGGGAGGTGATAATGCTCCAACCCAGGCCCAGGCCTTCCCAGTCAGGTACTGCATCAGTGAGCAGGTGAGGGAAAGTGGACAGGGGTTGGGTGGGTGGAGTAACTCTGGTCTATAAAGACCATCTTAACTTGACCAAATTATCTGTTAGGGAGCTGAATCACATTGAATGTGTATACCTGAGTCTGAAAACCAGTGATACACTGGGAATTCTGTTAGTGTGCCGCCCACTCGACTGCCTAAAAGACTCCTTGGCCAAGCTCACGGAACTGGTCTTGGAGCTGTTCCGTGACACCAAGACTTTCACTTCTGGGTGATTTCAGCATACCAATGTCTATACTTTTATGTGAGTATGTAGAGTAATAAAAGAAATTAACCTTAAATGAAGAATCTTTTAAAAATGTAATTACCTTAAAATATCATATATAAGGAAATAGTAGATGATACCAGATTAACCAGATTAATTTGGAAACTGGCTAAATGTGTTAAGCACTCAACACATTATTGTGATTTTTTTCAAATACGGAAAACATTTCTCTCCTTGTGTTATGCTTAATTCTAGAAGATAGAAGATGAGAGTCTGAGAGAAGAAACATGTTCTAATTAGAAGTATTTTTGCATAGAAGAAGCAGGTAAAGAGACTGAGAGTGAGGTCAAATGTTAAACTGCAGAGCAAATTGCAATTTAGCATTTGATTCAGCTTTAGCAAACACCCTTTTAATGAACCAGACCTTTACTAGAGTTCATATCAATGGTGATTATACTTTTGCTGACAACTCATTTCACCTTCTGCATTATCCTTACAATCGGCAAGAATAAAATATTAATGCCAACAAAGATCAGTCACTTTGTGTGCCTCATTGTAACTTAATGTCTTTTAATTTAACTAATTGGCTTTTTGTTTCTAGCCCCAGAGGCCACCTCCAATACAAAAATGATAAGGTATCCAAAAGAGAAAGAAAACACAAACTTGCTGACATTAATTAGACACAATAATTAAGACTGCTTTTAACACAAACATTTTTGCAATGGGAAAGAAAACTAAAGCAAATATATGATACCTCATCTAATTCCATCTCATCTGGGCTCTCTCGTGGTTTCATGAATTTCCCATCAGACTTCTTTATCAAAGGCACAATTACTATATAGTAACCTCTGCAAAGGAAACAAAAGACATCAATGAGATATACATAAAGAGAATGATGTGTTGGTATGGATTCGATTTAAAACTTCATCCTACAGGCAATAATCTCTAAGCAAATGGTTCAGAAACCAGCTCTGAAATTAATTTTAAGGAATCTTAAATCTCCAAATGATGTCAGTTCAGAATTCTAGCCTATCCAGTGAATTCCCAGTGGCCAACTGCAACTCAAGGAGGCATAAAATCAGAATGTATGGGAAATTATCAAAGATACATTCATTAAATATAAACATATTTATATGAAAAAGTGTGTAATAATACTTTTATAGTACAACTTGCACACTTAAGAGTGGCTACTAATAAATCAAACCAACCAACCAGAAACAAAAGATATTCTGAAAGTACTATTTGTTTTTTCAAATATAACTAGATGACAGAGAGTAATTAAATTTAAATAAATAAATAAATAGATAATAAAATGGATAAAACCCCTCAAAATAATAAAAATACACAAAAAAAAAATCTTTAACTGAAATGGGCCAATAGAAATGTTACTACCTTCCTCCAGGAATTGTTTCAGTAGGGATGGATTATGGGAAGGGAGCATCTTCAGAAATACTATTTTCATATGCTGTTTCATATGCAAAACTACTGTTATTCAGCACATTCCATGCAAAATTTTCTGAGCAACACTTTGCATGTGATCTTCACTTAAAAACAGTATTTTCTAAACAGGAAACAGCTTTTTCTGCATAAAAATTAATATTTCTGCATTATTTCCTGTGCAGATAATACAAGGAAGAGAAATGTCTGTAGGATATGATGCAATCTGCATTACAACAGGAGATCTCTTTTACCATTTATTTATTTACTTTGTTTTACATCCTACCCTCCCTCCCTCATTGAGGGACTCAGAGTGGCTAACATACAGCAACAATTCAAGGCCATTACACATAAATACGTATTAATAAAATATATCAAAATTTATATACGAATCTAAGTACAACAATATGAAATAAAACATTACTAAAGGCAGAGAGATCCTAAGGTTTTCTATCTAGCTCACATGTTAACTTCTCTTTGTAGTTAGAATTATTCAAGTTATGTATGACCCTAAAGTTTATTGCAATATTACCACAGAGAAACAAAAATTGGTTTAACTATTTTTATTTTTGGCTACAGTTTTATCTTTACAAAATAAAAGGAAAAGGTGCTGCTAATTTTTAAAAAAATAAAAGAAAAAGGTGCTGCTAAATTGGATCATCGAGGAGAGTATTACCTCCTGCATCCTGGCTAATGATTATACTTCTAAGTGTGATATACTTCTTAAAAGGCAGGTATGGATGGTGGGAGAGACAGTGAAACCTGCAATTTAAGATCATTCTTCTTTTGGGTTGCTGTGAGTTTCTGGGCTGTATGGCCATGTTCCACAAGCATTCTCTCCTAACGTTTTGCCCGCATCTGTGGCAGGCATCCTCAGAGGTTATGAGGTCTGCTGGAAACTAGGCAAGTGGGGTTTATGTATCTGTGGACTGTTCAGGGTGAGAGAAAGAATTATTGTCTGTCTGAAGCAGGTGTGAATGTTGCAACTGGCCACCTTGATTAGCATTTAATGTCCTTGCAGTTCAAGCTGCAAGGACATCAAGGTGGCCAACTGCAACATTCACACTTCTTCTCATTTCTTCACTGGGAGTTTTGCCTTTACATTCCTCCAAGAAAATGTGACTTCTCCAAAGTCATCCAGTGGGTTTCCATGACCAAATGGGGATTTATATCTTGGTCTCCAGAGTCATAACCCCATGCTCAAATCACTATACTATGCTGGCTATACAGTAAAGGTAAAGGTTTCCCCTTGACATAAAGTCTAGTCGTGTCCAACTGGGGTGGTGGTGCTCATCTCCATTTCTAAGCTGAAGAACCGGCGTTGTCCGTAGATGCCTCCAAGGTCATGTGGCCAGCATGACTGCATGGAGCTATATAGCACATATGAATAAAATGTTAAAATTAATTTAGGATTTTTGTGTAGGTTATCTGGAATAGAATAAATGTGTGAGGTTAGGGAAAAGGGCCTACTATCATTGTCCATTGTCAGTGGCGCAGTGGGTTAAAGCACTGAGCTGCTGAGCTTGTTGATCGAAAGGTCGCAGGTTTGATTCCGGGGAGTGGCGTGAGCTTCCGCTGTCAGCCCTAGCTTCTGCCAACCTAGCAGTTCGAAAACATGCAAATGTGAGTAGATCAATAGGTACCGCTCCAGTGGGAAGGTAACGGCGCTCCATGCAGTCATGCCGGCCACACGACCTTGGAGGTGTCTACGGACAACGCTGGCTCTTTGGCTTAGAAATGGAGATGAGCACCACACCCCAGAGTCAGACATGACTGGACTTAATGTCAGGGGACTACCTTTACCTTTACCTTTACCATCATTGTCCATGCCCACAGAGAATTTGAAGGATTCCTGAAAATTGCAAGTGGCTTCTTGTTGCCCTACTCTTAATGTAGAGAAATTAAGATTGATATTAAAGGGGGACTCCATTTTAACCAATTATCCCTATGTAGTTGAATGAGATAGCAGAATGTCAGGATTTGGGCATAGGACAGGCAATGCTTCATGGGTCCATGGGGGTAATGTCACTGAACTGGGACACATTTAGCATCCCTTGACCCACAAGCTGATGTACAGTAGATATAACCACTATTAAAACATATATTGATAACTAAAACTCAGTTTAAAAGAGCTCTTTAAAAAGTTTTAAAAACAGCCTAAGCAGATGTGCCTCATTTTAAGATCTAGAAGTTAATACAACTAGCAAAGTATTCACTGCCTGCGAGGAATTCAAAAAGGTTGGAACCAGTTTGACCTCTCTCGGGAGGGAGTTTCACAGTTGCGGTAATTTTATAGAGAATGCTCTGTCACGTGTGTCAACTAGTCTACACTCATGAGGTGGGAGGATATGTAACAGGGCTTCTTTTGATGATATCAGACTTTGGGCAAATTTTAAAATTTCAAATAACAATGTTAAATTTAAACATTTTATTCTAAAGAATACACACAATACATTTTTCCAGTAATAAAAGATAATGTAACCATTTTGTACATAGAAAAACAAAAATAATGCTCCTATTGTAACCAAAAACAAACATTGCTCCCTGCTCTTCCCCTCTTCACATCCACACAGATTTATCACATTCACACATTCAAAATGACATTTGCAGAATGTCCTCGCAAAATGTCACTGCTGAAGGGACAAGGGCTTGCTCTTCTGTGTGAAAATATCAAATCATCAGTGCAGAAAGATGTCTGCCAAATGCTCATGGCAAATTGGTTTAAAAAATAAATTCTTAAGAGTTTAGCCTTAAGAGTTGACTGTGAAAACAAACAATTAGGCTCCAGAGTATAATCCAAGTTAAGGATCTAAGTTGTAGCAGGGTATCTTGATGCTAGTTGGGCAAGAGAGAGGGTTCAAATTCTATTTCTAAAATCAAAGCAATTGATTTGTCCAGAAAAGGCTGATCAAAATGATCAAAGGTCTGGAAGTCAAGTCCTATGAGGTGCGGCTTGGGAAGTTAGGCATGTTTAGTTTGAGGAAAAGAAAGGTGAAGGGACATGACAGCCACGTTTAAATATTTGAAAAGTTGTCACATTGAGGGGAGGGGAGCAGGTTTGTTTTCTATTGCTTTGGAGACTAGGACACAGAGCAATGGATGCAAAATTGCAGGAAAAGATATCTCACCTAAACATTAGGGAGAACTTCCTGATGATAAGAGCTGTTTGACAGTGGAATAGGATCCTTCAAAGTGTGGAGAAGTTTCTTTCTCTGGAAGTTTTTAAACAAGGGGTTGGATGGTTATCAGTTGTGAGTGCTTTGATTGTGTTTTCCTGCATGGAAGGGGGTTGGACTGCATGGCCCTTAGAATCTCTTCCAATTCTATAATCAAGCCAGCCACAAGCTCATTTAATGCATGAATGCAAACTTAATGCATTAATACAAATGTTTGCATTTTGCTATATTACACTGTAGCCTGAGATATAATATTTATAGTGTCCAAATATTTACAAGGTATTTCACATGTGACAGGATAAGTAGTATGATTTGCATTAGTGTAAATAGTTCAGCCAGCCAGATATGAGTTGATGTCATAATTGGGTTACATTGGTATTTATTTAATTTTTTTAAAAAAATCTAAGAATAAAATGACCATTTATTGTTATTATACAAGATAAACACAAACAACACTTTTTAAAAAGAAATAAAAAGGTTAAGGTTTTCCCCTGACATTAAGTCCAGTCATGCCTGACTCTGGGGGTTGGTGCTCATCTCCATTTCTAAGCCGAAGAGCTGGCGTTATCTAGACACCTCCAAGGTCATGTGGCTAGCATGACTGCATGGAGCGCCTTTAAAAGTAAAAGGTCTTGCAATATGTTTCTTCAACAAACTTCTCCCATATATTGGGGTTGGAGAACATTAGTAAACTTATTGCAGCTTGAATATTCTTATCTAGAATGCTTGTTGGCCAGAATTGGTTTTGATTTTTGATTTATTTTTTTTTTTGGTGAGGCAGATTTTGGAACACCTTTATTTGCATACACATACATAATGAGATAAGTTGGAAATCAGATCAAATCTCAAAACAAAATTCATTTATGTTTCATATATATCATATACACATAGCCTGAAAGTAATTTTTATAGAATATTTTAAACAATTTTGTTCCATTGTTCATTGAACCAAACAAAATCAAAGATGTTGTTATCTCAGCCACACATGTGGACAATTTTTGAGGATTTTTTTTTTGTTTGGATTTTGGAATTCCAGATAAGGGATACTCAATCTATAATGGGAGTAAAATACAAATTTTCACCGAATCTGAATTTCACCAAATGAAATTTCTGTTCATTTCTAGGAAAAAAAATATCTACAATGTAAACATCTTTTCAACCTGTATAAATAAATCCAATTCAGACTGAGATTCATAAACCCAATCCTGTTAGGGGTTTAATCTGATACACACACAT